TATATCTTTCTGCAAGTTAGTGTGTGCAGACATTTTTTAATAGTTGTTTGCAAAGTTTATACCTTTTTCGAACAGCTCTAAGTAGGAAAAGTGGATGTCTACTCTTTGGAGCTAGGACAGGACCTCAGGCATCTCAGGCTTGTACTCAAGCGATCCAGAGCTAGTACCAGAGCCAGAGCCCAGAGCCATCAACTACGCGCTTTTAGGTCAACAATCTGCGTCTGAGCTGAAGTATTGCTGGCGCCCGTTTGTCGCACATGTCAATCAATGGAGATCCAATTTTAGCACAAGTAAACAATATTTGCGGAGTCAACATTGCCGTCATCGATTCCGATAGATCTATTCGTATCATCAATGCCCGCCCCCAACAATAGTATCAGCGCAAACAGCGTGATAAGCTACGGAGCCTCTGCGAAGACTCCCAGTCTCCATTTTCATTTCAGACCATTGAGAGTGGATGATGAAAAGTGGGATCGTTGTAAATAGGTACCTAAAAACCAAGTCTTTCTCCCTCTTCATCTCTTATTGAAAAGTGATTCTTCACGATGCGCTCTCTTCATTAGAGCTGCGCACGCGCTTTTCTAGACGCTCTCTTAAAATTTTAGACTAGACTTTGCACCTTACACATCGTATATTGTGGCTCTCCCTAATCAGAGGCTTAGCGATAATACTTGAAGAACGTCAATGGTCCCACGCTCTCCCACAGCCAGCTGAGCCAAGACTGTAGCATTTAGAAGAATGTAGACTGTAGAGTGAAGCTCTCTTTTGCACATTGTACTAAAAATAGGGGTCTACGATTGGGCGCGCGCTGTTATTTTTAATTGAAACTGGATCACGTCTCACACACGTTGATGTTGTTTACGTTTTCAACAACAGCAACAACCGTTATCAGACATGGGAGAAACAAAGCTATAGAGGCCGTCTTTGGAGAGCAGAGCTGCATTCACAGAGAACACTCGTATTAATGTTTTAATATCAAGTAGTTTCCAAGGCAGCGTACTCGTAGGAGTGGAGAAACCGAACAGGACCCAGTCTTAAAATCAACCGTAAGACTATGCCGGCCAACAGCCAAATCATTGTTGATTTGTTGATTCAATAAACAATAACAATACTGATCGTTTATATTGCTTATCTTGCGACGACATAGACGACCCATTCAACAGTAATACAAAAAGTCCAAATTAATTGTTTACCTTATTATATTTTTATAAACAATAAAAGCACTTCGAACCATATACGCTGCAGCGTCGACAATGAATCAATCCATGACATCCTCTCCTTCTTTCATTCACTGCTCTTTCCGTTTTAGAGGCTTTTGGGCTAAACCTTCTTAATGCGATCAATTCTTATAATTCTAATTGATCTGCTTGAAGATTATGATTATGCCATGTACCCGAAGCCTGAAACGGTATACTAAGACGTTCGTAATATAGGAGGCGGACGTCTGTCTGTATGAACCCCTATAGCTTTTGAACCATGACAGCTACGGACACCGAACTTGACATTTAGACTTGTCTCATTCATATAAATAGCAAGTTTTCGACAACTCTAATTATTTCGTAAAGCTGCCTATACAGCTGCCTTAGAGGGTTCATTTTCATTCATTTTCTCTATTGAGCGACTGCTTTCATATTTAACTAATTTATTTAACTGTTCTACTAATTAATGTGGTATGTAAAATATAACATTTAAGCGATAATATAATATTTACTAACTGTTGTTTTAAGTTTAAGTATAGTTTTTCTCTGTGGTTATCTGAAAATCTGCCTGTCTGACTACCCGTGGACGTAATCTGATTTCAATAGAGATACTATAATATATAGTAGTGCCGCACAGGTTCAAAATCGTCGTTGTCTATTTCTCTTTTGTTGTCTGTGATGGATTCACTCTAATTGTTGTTCCTCTCGATTGTGTTATTTCTCGGAAACTGATAACGCGCTCATCATTACATCTGTTTGAACCCCTACATATGTATGTACTATGTACGTATGTATAGGTATCACTAATGCATCAGTTTCTATGAAATGATCGCACAGTTATTTATCTATGTACTTATATGATAAATAATCGTATAGTGTTCAATAGAGATTATGTTGGCATTAAACATTCATTCGAAAATTTGAGTTTTCTTTTGGGAAACAGCTATTTATATAAATCTATTCACGTTTTTTTTTGTTTTCAGCTTTTTTTGGGTGTACGATTTTGCGAAACTTGACAAAACAGCAACTAAATACTCTAGAAAGATCTCTAAAACCAAATAAATACGAGTATACGAGTACAATTTGTTTATAGCAAGTAATATTTTCGACCAATCTGTCATAGGTCGACTGATTTTAATCAGTTCGAAGCAAGTGTTTTTCCCATTTCTAGCTAATCATAACATGAAATGTGTTCTTAGAATGTAATGTAGCCTTTAGTAAATATTGTATATCATTGATGTTGAAAACTTAAAAACAACTTTTGAAATCTTAACATCAAACTTGGCACTTCTAGCTGCGAAAGTTTCCAAAATCAAGGCATTCAGACGGACAAACAGATTAGGGTACACGGCAGTCTTAAAATTGCAATGATTTTATGTAAGAAGATATTTCCATTGATGTACATACATACATACATACAATGTATGTACGTATCAATCTTGCCGCAGCTATAGAGGAGGCACATCAGCAGCGACATCTGAAAAGTCGCGACGGACCAGGCGCCGGCAGCTTGATTGCTGACACTGCCAGTAAATCGCTGAGAATTGTTTTTCAATTTGGCTGTGAAACAACAAAGAACTGGAAGTGAACTGATTTCGTGCATATAACAATAACAATATGTACATGCTATACACATGTACATTAGCATTGAAGCCCCAAAGCATATGTACGAGTATGTACTTACATATGTATGTATATACTTCGGCCAATATATAGTACATAAGTACTTAACCAATGGCAGTCCGATTCGATTTCTTTGTTACTTTGAAAAGTTAGTTCAAGGAAAGACTGTCCTGTAACCCGCTCGCTCCCATTATAGCTATAGAATATAGGCTTTTTCATCCCTATGTATATTGTAAGAATATATAGAGCCTGAAAAGGTATTGAAAATAACAAAGCTATTGCAAAATTATCCTATAGTTCCTATGACAGCTGTAGGATATAGCAGTACTTGTTTAAACATAATTTAATATCACGACACGGCGAATTTACTTAACATAATTGTAGAAGCAATTAAATTAATTCAAAATCGTTTGATCGTTCCTGCGACACAGTTATGACATAATAAATCCATTTATGTAGATCAAATGATATAATATCATTACATGGAATATTCCACGCCCCTTATTAGGCATTGGAAAACAAAGGCAAACATTTGCAATTGAAGAAGCTTAGAGAGCATGGACAAGAATACAAAAATACATACTAATACATGTTTTGTTAATTTTTAATTTGTGCGGGCAACACTTTTCGTTTATCTTTGTATGTGTGTGTGTGTAAACGATAATCGTTAGGCAGCGGCAGGAAGTGACAGTGTTGCCAAACAAACAACTGTTCGCTGCAAATTGTCTTTATAATATGTAATAAACAAGAAACATACATATGTATGTATATACATTCATACATACATACACAATTCTACAAGTGCGTGCCCATTATCCATGTGGTAAGTGTATGTGCGATTGTGTGTGCGTGCGCGTGTAACCGATAACGAAGCAATCCAACGAAGCAAGCAGCAGTCCCGGTTCCCGTCCGTCCCAAGCGAAGCCAAACAACTTTAGTCTAATTATAGAATATTGAGCGCTAAAAATACATATGTACATATGTATGTATGTACATTTTTCAATTCACGCCAGTTTCAAACAACTACAAACAATCAACAATAACAACAGCAGCAACAACAAATCTGACTGTGCGTGCGCGCGTGTGTGTGTGAATTATAAGCTATTTCGTAATACGCGTGCGGCTCAGCCAACGAACAGCTGTTGAATTATTTTTACAGAACCCAACAGTGATAACAACACTCGTTGTTGTCGTTGTTGACTCCAAATGTTAAACTTCGGCCAGAGTGGCGAGAGACACCAACGAAGAGAGAGCGCAGCCCGAGAGAGAGAGAGAAAGAGAGAGCGACCAAGGCTGCAAGGGCAGGCAGTCAGAGCGCGAGACTCATAAACGGCAGCGAAGTGGGAGTTTGCGTCGCAGCAGCAGAAAACCAGCTGATCATTAGCAAACTAACTGAACACTTAAGTGGGGGTGGCCACACTGGTTACACGGCAATGGAAATGCATATGGGAATGGGACGCACGTGCAACAAGAAGAAGAAACCTAATAATAACAACAACTAACAAATTGTGAGTGACGGACAGGAACAACAACTCTCACACTCAAACAGCAAGAGCTGAGCTCAGCGCATGCGAGCCGAGCCGAGTCGAGCTATTGCCACTGAGCGGGATTCCCAAAGCGCGCTTTCAAATCAAACCCAGCCGCCAGCCGCATCGTCGTGCGTTCGCTCGATCGCTCGCTCGCTCGTTCGCCCGCTTTCTTTAATCGGCGAAGGCAAGACAATCCGCACACGTCCAACAACCCCATAAGCTAACGCGGCGCTCTTAGCCAAGTTCATAAAAAAAAACACGACAACAGCAAAGAAGTGTCGATACAAAAAATTTAATTTAAATAAATAAAATAAATAATAAAATAATAGGCCCGATGTACCGACTCCTATATTAGGCACGAAATGCACAAAAATCGGAACGCAACACGCGTCGCAAATCGCTGCCATCGCATAAAAACACGCCTTTCGATCGCAAAAGACTCTCTTAAGTAAACATAACATACTATATCTAACATAAGTATTGTTTTATTTTTTATCTTTTTTTTTGCACGTATTACATACGCTTTTCACACAAACTTACACACGTAGCCACATATGATTATTTTTTATACACTTATTGTGATTTGAAACTTTGTGATTGCAAAAGAATTATCTACGAAGAAAGCAAAAAAAAAATTAATAAAGAAAGTTCCTTAAGCAAGTGATAAGTTTCTAAACCGAAGAGCGCACATAAATACGAATACGCCTAAGTATATCACTTAATAACCTCAGCCCGAAACTCAAACGACAAGCGCGACTAATCATCCAAAATACAGGATCAGGATAACGCAGCAACTGATATCAACAGATCAGGCAAGAAGAATTAAAAGATATACCTAATCGACTGCTCTCACATTAAGGATGCAAATGTAAGTACATATAGTTCCATTCCATGCAGAATTACGGACCAAAATGTTCCAAAGTTGTTGTCTCTTTTTTTTACGAAATACTAAAGCTTATTGTACCTATAATGGGATTACCGTTTTTATTTTCGAACCATTTTTTCTCTGCGTAATCTCTGTTTTTTATGCCCTCTACATATTTCCTTTTCGGTCCAAGTATTTTCGTAAGACCCTCCGAAAGAATCGCGGAAATGAAACAACCTAAATCATGAGGGACACATTCGAAAAAGTATATACAATTTTGTTGGTATTTTATGCAAGGATCTTAGAAAGTATAACAGCTGTTTTACTAGTATTTTCAACCAATTTTTGTTAATAACAGAGTGACATTTCATAAGAATATCTCAGGTAATGCAAGAGCCCCTATTGTATCGAATAGTGCTATGACTTTTCGTATTTAAACTATTAGATCTAGCATGCAAACGTCTATAAATAAATTGAAATAACTTTGAAGAAACAATCTACGAAGTAATAGGTGTACTTAACTGAATAATATGGAAATCACATACCACAAAATAAAGATCTAAGTATAGCTGAAGGCCCTGGCAGCCATTGCCAGAAACTATCAGTAAAACAAAATATAAAATTATTATCATAGGTTTTAACAATCCTTTTCCCTAATTCTCTTCAATTACTGCTGCTTTCCATCATTTCACAATATAAACAATTTTTTCGTAAATATCTCTATTTCATCCAGAGGCAATTATTAAAATTAAGAACATAACAAAAACTTATTAATATTCATATATTTTACTTAAATATTTCTTAAATTATTACCTATACCTCTATATACAGAAATATAAGGTAGTTAAAAAACAAGAAAGCATTCGGAAAGCATTTACTTCCCAACATAAAGTGTATAGAAATAATAATTTTCCCATACTGTTCGACTGTATGAACAGCGATAACATTTGAACCATAACAGCTAGGGACACCAAATATATAGGCTTGTATTATACCTACAGGGAGCATTTTTATTACAAACCATATATAACCTCATTACTATATGTAACTGCCATAGGAACGATCGGTGCAAAAATTAAACTTAGTACCAAGCTAGTTTTTGTTGAAAGAGATATCAGAGTTTCTTTTGGTTGAAAGGCTGTAGTGGGAAAAGGGAAAAGGAAAGCTATTCAAGATCGGCAGGTCTTTAACGTTCAACCTGTTTTAGAGTCTTCTTTTATATTACATTCATTTCTTTACTTGTATTAGCATTTAGGACGAAGGATATATAACCGGACTTATTTATTTCCACCAGCTGGAATAATTGGAGTCATTATTTGATAGGAAACGTTCTACCATGAGGTCAAATATCAAGAACATATGTCTGTATGTATTTATATTTATTTGATCAGCAGCGGCAGCAAAAAAAAAGAAGAAAAAAGAAAAAACATTGAAACCCATTACATGCACACCATTTACCAAGTACGAGTTTGTTTATGTATTTATGTGTACATATGTATTGGTTTAAAAAGAATACAAAACAAACATAATAGACGCACACACGCATTTTTATTTCGATTTTATTAAATTCATGTTCCAAATGATAAGAGCTGCTCGGTTTATTTTTAAACATTGAAGTTTATGTAAATATTTCCTGGCCCGCGACACAAACAAAAACAGAATCAGAATCTGAAGGAATGGAATGGAAAACACAATATTTGATACTGATAAGCCCGACCCGATGGCGAAGAGAGCAGGGCAGGGCTGGCTAGACGCGTGCAGGCATAACCCCAGGCGGAGCCGCAGACGGCGTGTTGTCGCCAACGAAGCTCTCTCACGCAGCAGCAGGGCACCCGTCTCTCAGTACGCATACACGTACACCCGTATATATCTTTATCAACACACGCGGGTCGTTCCTAAAGTCCTTAAAAGTCAATCGAAAATTATACATTTCTGCTTTGTTTACTTTTATATTGACACGTTCGCTTTATCGGATACTCTGTCCGTCTGTATGTACCTCCAGAACTTTTAAACCAGCGCAGCTAGATACCCAATACTTGGCTGGTAGAGTAGTCTTGTCCAGCTTGTTTGTTTTATATATATTTTTAGACAAATTTTTTGAGTATTTGCTGCACTATACTATATCATTAGCGTCCATACTACACGTATTTCACAATATTTCACATAATAGAGTCGGACTTGTTTATTTTTCAGCCCTATTTACGATCTCCAAAACATATGTTTGCTCAAAACAGACATATGTTTGTTTCAGAGACAAGAAGACAATCTTTTCGCTTGATATGAGTCTGCTTTTCGGAAACAAAGCTAACAGCATTTCTTGACCAACTGTTTTCCCTGCAGTTCTTTACTCCATTTACCGTTTGACCCTTTTCTAAGAATTGATTAGAAAAAAATGTGTCCTACACTCTCTTGGAAGCCGGATCTTCTATAGAAAACCACCGTTTTGACTGTTCCTTCGTTTCGGAAGTGTAGTGACGAGCAAGCTCAAAAGAAGCGGCCACACGAATGTATTCTTCACTGTATCTTTTTCACTGATTTATATTATCTCGAAAATCTTTCTAAATAACTGTAACCTATAATCTCTTGGGCCTTTCATCTTAAATCAAAGACTCGTTTTCCACTCTTTCTAATCGCTAAATTCGCTCCAAACATTTTAAGCTAAATATAATCATCTTTTTCAAATTAGTACAACATGGGAAACGCAAAAGTAAGAATAAATTCAACATATATCTGAAAATCTTCTTAAAGCTAAGTTCATCTCCAAAGACAAATCAATTTTACATAATTTTTACTAAGAATAGTAAGATATTTAATTCCGTCTTCAAATATCAAGAGACACTATGATCTTCAATGAATTGTACACAAAACTGTTTATCTTTTTTAAAGGTATTTTAATCTTTTAAATAAATTCAATTCTACATAAAACTGTTAAGCTTGTTAATCATCAAATATTATTTTTAGTAGATAATATGTTTGCGATAACAAAACTCATGTAGACTGTAGAATTCGTAACCCGTTTAAGATTCCCCCAACTGGAACTCAATAGACTACAATTAATTGTTATATCCAAATATAAAATACCTTATTTCTTTCTCAGATGGTTCACCCGTTGCCCAAAGACAATCTTTTCCTCCTGGCCACTGTTGTGGTGTTATGCGTAAGCATCATGTGTCCCCTGGCGGTAGGAAAGCCACTGACTTCGAATACCGATGCTGAGCTCAAGAGCCATTGCAGCAGTAATCTGGCCGATGCCATAAATATAATTTGCGGAGGTCGCACACGCTCCCTGACGGATAATTATCGTAAGTACCACTAAAAAATACTGACAACATGGGAATGGCAGCAATAATATTTTTATTCCAAAACAGCCCAGAGTTTCGGCCGGCGGGTCAAGCGAGACGAAATTTTCTATAAACCACAACAATACGGTCCAACCCATAAATGCTGTCAACGTCCCTGCGGCATTACGGAGCTCAGACAGTACTGTGCACCCGATTAGGGAAACAAATGGCGAGGAGGAAGACGCGTTTCCTACGCATCACTCATCAATCACCATCACCCCATAAACAAAACAATTAAACAATATCGAAATACGAACCAATCATTATAGATACATATAAGTGTATACATCCACTAAGTATATTATACTAATTTAAACTATGGTCTAATGCAGTTTTTGAAAAATATAACATCAATTTGAAAACCCTAGACAACAACCAAATCAGTAATGTTGAGGTATATTCCAAATCTCCCAATTCGAATGGCGAATCTGCACCCTTCATGAGCTCCAACCATCAATCCTCAGTCGATTCTTTTAGGGAATACACCCTAACTTACAGCTAACCATAATCAGTTGAACTCTTTTTAGGGATCTTCATTTTTAAAACTCTAAATTTTATATAAAAATTATATATTCTGAAGACTCGAAACCTTTGTATAGGTAATTTATGTTAATTTATCAATTTCTCAATTCAGGCAAGAAAAAAAAAGTAATTCTGAACCCTTCATAATTCTCAACCATCAATTGGTACTTCATTCAAGCATCACCAATTCAACTCCTAAGAACCTTTCCTTACTGAACCTTTGAATGTGTATTTAAGATAAACTTCCCAAGTACATTTATATATTTTTCATGCAGTAATAGTTTTAACAGCAGCTACTGTTAAATCTTAAAATAATATGTCAAAGTCGTTAACCCACTTCACGTGGGGTTCTCTAGATATCATCTGACTAATCGGGGGTTAAGCGAACCGTAAAGAAAAAAATTCAAGAAACAAATCATTTTTATTTTCCACCACCAAAGAACAACTTCTGCCACCTATCCGTTTCTTATTATGGAAGGACAAGGGCTGATGACTTCTACGCCCGACAGACACATTTTTTTAGGTGGTATATAGTAGTGTTATCAAATGAAGGCCATCGGAGTAGGCTGTTAGAAGTTTCGGCTGAAGCTGATGGTCTTTGAGGACGATTTTTTGAGGAATCTTCAGGCTTGGCTTTCAGTGAAAATTACGGATATTATTGGCTCCGCTTATCCCTTAGCTGTTCTTATTGATTAAAGCTAACCGCAAACAGGCATAAATTTGAGTTTGAACAGACTCCGGTCCACTCCCAGATACATTTTTATCCGTCAGAGTCAACTTTTGGCATCGTTAGAGGATTTGCTATGTTCGGTTGTTCCTTAACTAGAACAACCATGGTCCTGGACTAATTTTGAGAACTATTTAAAAAGCATTTCTTTGATGAATCAGGACTGTCTGTTGTAATACTCTCTATATCTCCGCAGTTGGATAGTTTTAGCTTAAGGACTGCATTTCTTGGCTGAGCCAATCCCTTAATCGCAAAGAAGGACGTCTGAGAGTCAATTTCTTGTTAAGCAAAATGTTCATCATCATTGATTTGCGTGTTGCTTATCAACATTATACACATTGTCGATGTAATCGACCAAATGTCATGAACATGCCACGAGTATATAGAATTTGGGGCGTATGCTCGTAAAAAAGGGGGTGGATTGGCATATCAATTGAATTTTGAAACCTATGAAAAGGACTTGCTGACGGGCACTTTTGAGCAGGACACTTTATGTGCGAATGTGGTGTGGTGTGGTGTGGTGTGTGGGTTGCCCGGAGGGTTGTGTACGTGAGCTTGTAAATGGGGTCAGACATGCAGACACCCACGATATACGAGTATACACGACTAGTATGATGGCGAAGAGCAGAGACACATCACATCATCATGATTGAAATGAAACTATTTCGAGCATTTATTAGCAAAGTCATCTTTAAAACGTTTATTTCTGATTAGGCCGAACATGAAAAAAAATGACTGATCATCATAAGTGTGTGTGTGTGTGTGTGGTCGTGTAAAGGTAATGGACTTCGGTCAAAACATCGAAGGCACTTCCTTTCACATTAAATGGTCGCCTCAGCGCTTAGCCAGCACACGGTCGGGCGTACTCTGGGGTCCGAGACGCATATAATAGAGTCCTCGATTGCAAACACCATCCCGTATGCGCAAGGGAGAGTCATTTGTTCGGCTCTTTCCAGCCCTACGAGCCGATCTGAGGGCAGCAGTCTTGGCCGCATCAAATGGTATCATCGGCTCCGATGGCGCCACCGGTGGCAGCAGCAGCGGCATTTTCGACAACTCCAAGCCCCGCGCTCCCTGCCATCATCACACACGTTATATACATATGTATTTAGAAATCTGTTCACTTATCCAATGGAACTTACCGATTTGCCTCGCACGAACAGATGCCAGACGTTCCTCATCAATGCGGACATTCCGAGGCAACCGCCGCATACTTCCTTCTTCACCTCCACCGCATGAGCCGAGGGGCGACGTCGAAGGACACCGAACGCCTGACTCAGCCAACGACGGATAGCACCTTTTGCCATTTTGTCTTATTGTTGTTTTTTAAACGGATAATTTCAATTTTTTAACTTTAAAAAACACATAAAATTTTGCTAGTATTTATAGAGAGAAGAAACCCGAACGAATAAAACCTGAAAACTGACTCTTTTTAGCCCCGAACGGCTGATACTTGCAAATTTTTAAAGCCAAGCCTACTTAGCGAAAAACATTTGTATTCAAGGTGCGTTCCAAAGTAAACAGGACTTTTTGAAACTAGCGCCCCCTGGTGGCGCTATCTGTATGTCGACTGGTGCGTTAGAATCTGCAACCTTTATCGATTGTCCAGTGAGAATTTCATGACATTTCATCGATTGGAAGTGAAGTTATTGCGTTTTAGGTGTCAGTAGGTTTGTGTTATCGGTGCGAAAATGAGCTTCGAACAAAGAGCCAGCATTAAATTTTGTTTTAAAATTGGTAAAAACTTTTACCGAAACGTTTCTATTGATGGAACAAGTTTATGGCGATGATTGCCTATCCCGTAGCAGAGTGCACGAGTGGTTTCAACGTTTTCAAAGTGGTCGTGAGGACATAAATGACGATCAATCAAAATTCGTGATCACCGAAAATTCCATCGAAACTGTGCGTGAATTCAAAAAAAATCAGCCGAAATCATCATTGAAATTGATGGAAATGGAATTGAACATCTCCAAAACATCGATTTATCGCACTTTGTCCGAACATTTGGGCTTACGAAAGGTGTGTGCACGCTTGTTCCAAAAATTGTGACCGATTATTTGACCAAAAATCACATTTTAACCATTAACCATGAAAGAAAAGCGTTATGCAGACGTAGAGGCCATTCAAAAGGCTTGCACTGGCATACTCGCGGCCATACCAGCCAACGAGCTAAAACACTCGTTCGACATGCTTTTGGATCGTGCAAAAAGCTGTATTGAAGCAGAAGGAGACTATTCTGAATAAAATAAATTGATTTGGCCGAAAAACCTGTTTACTTTGGAACACACCTTGTACTCTGTACATGAAGAGTATGTACAAGAGTATATTAGGCTTGCGCGAGTTGAAAAATGTAACAGGCAGAAGGAGGCGTGGCAGACCCCACAAAGTATATACATTCTTGATCAGCATCACAAGACGAGTCGAGCTTTCTTCAATGCTTATCATTAAAGGGGATGTGGCATGCCTCCTTCTGCCTCTTTCAAATCTTCAACCCGTTAAGAAACTGAAAGAGCTTTGACGAAAGACCAAGAACAATACCAAGAACAGTCCCACGGATTACTAGGAATGGAAGACTTGAAAGCCTGCCAAAGTACAATGAATAGCACCAAAGTTTTGTTCTGCAGGGGGACAAATAGTGAGTTGCTTCGTATACCAAAGGAGTTGTAAATCCGAGTGAAAACTTGATTCGTTACGGCTTTGATTTCCCGCAGATTTCTTGGAATGAAATGTAAATGCTGTTTATTCGCACAAACAGGAGACAATTTGGAAATTTTTAAACGAAAAGAGTATTTATAGCAGACAAAGATTTACAAGTACAAATGAATTGGGTGGGACCTTTTGGGAGATATGCGAGGCTATTCTACTCCTAAAGTTACAGTTGGCCTGCAAGAATACTGCCAACGCAAAGCAGAATAATAATATTGTCAGACACTTCCAACTAAAGGCTTTAAATTGCTGTCCTCCTATGCGTATATTGAGCATTATGAAAACGTAAGAATCGTAAGTATTACTACCATGCTAGCTAGCATTGTATGTATGTATGTATGTGTGTGGTTCCTAGATCTGTGTGTGTTTAACACAGCATTGCTTTCAAGTGGTCGTGTGCGGATTCATGCTTCATGCAATAAAAACCCATTTAGGCAAATGATTTTGTTCCCTAAACCTAAACTCAGCTCAGCTCATGCTCATGCTCATAAAACAAAATGTTCGACACCCAAGGCCCATTCCAGCATTGTGCAACAAGCTCATCGCACCCCACATGCCATGCAAGGGAAGCAACAAGAGCCAGGAGCTAACAGCGACAACCACTGTGGTGTGACAGGGAAGAAGCTTTCACAGTTGATATGCGCAAGGGGCGACTCGGTAATATGGCACCCTTTTTCAAGGACTACGGACTTGTAAGCGTGTGTGTGTGTGTGTGTGTTGCTCTGTGCGGAGGAGGCAGACTGGTGCGCACAATCGTTGTTGCTATGAATACGGAAGTCGCGGCTAGGGTGCACAAAACGAAACGAAACGACAAGAAAAACGAGTGTAACTTTAATTCGCGAGAGTGCGGCTCTTGTATACTCTTTAACCTCCCCCAAGAAACTTCAGGATATAGTATTTGCGTAAATAAGGAAGTTCTATTACAAAGAGTTGATTTTACACCGACCTTTGCAATGGCAGCTATGTGATACAGATTCTAATAAAACTACATGTCGTTTGTAATAAACTTCATATGCATATGGATAAGGCAAGCCTAGATGCAAAGTCTGATGTATCTAGCTGCATTAGTTCAAAAGACATCCAAGTTCATACAGTCGAACAGCAGGACAAGTAGATGGAAGGACAAACGGACAAACTTATATAACTTACAAATACTAAATTATGTTGATATACGAGTATCTTTATCTTTGTTCCACTAAGAGGGAGAGGATGATCGTCTCTATGGGAGATCTGTTAAAGTATGAGTCTATATATAGTTTGTAATAAACTTCATATGCATATGGATAAGGCAAGCCTAGATACAAAGTTTGGTGTATCTAGCTGCATTAGTTCAAAAGATATCCAAGTTCATACAGTCGAACAGCAGGAAAAGTAGATGGAAGGACAAACGGACAAATCCATATACCTTAGAAATCCAAGATTTATTTGATATACGAGTATCTTTATTAAAAAATTGTTCCACTAAAAGGGAGAATCGTTTCTATGGGAGCTATATAAATACATGAGTCTACATATGATTTGTAATAAACTCAGTCTGTGTATGGATAAGGTAAAGCCACACGCCAAGTCTGGTTTCCCTAGCTGCTACGGTTCCAAGGCTGTCGAAGCTCATACAGTCGAACAGATGAACGGAATGGCGAACAGATAAACAGACTTGTCTATATCAATTCGTTTCGTCGTGCTTGTCATAGGTATATCCCTACCACGCCTCCATCTGCCTGTTACATACACTCGGGCCTTGTTAGGTATACACCCTTTGCACCCTTCGGATACAGGGTATAACGAGAAGTTTGCTTGTTGTCTGTGCGCCAGGACTATACACAGGCAGCACAGTGAACAGAGAACAGGAAACAGCGAAGACTAAAAGGGGTGTCAGTGTCGTCATTAGAACGGCAACGTTTTTGCTAGCAACTTGTGGTAATGGACAATGGCCAGACTCAGACTCAGAACCAGACCCAGTGGCAGGCAGCCCCTCACAGCGGATATAATCGAACGTAAGTCATATTCTATGTTCCTTTGGAAAGCTGGGAGTCGGTTTCTTAATCACAACATTCGTAGCACAAATGCGCAGCAAAGAAGAGAACTGTGAGACGCAAGTGGAGACCTACTAGCAGTTGAAGTTGAAAGTTAGACTAAAATTTATGGTTAGAGCCATAGAGCAGACGTCGCAGTAGAAGCAGCAGGCAGCAGGCAGAAGTCCTACAATGATGGCAATGCGCAAATGTACAGACAAACAAATATACTCCCACACAGAGCCACAGCCACAGTCCTCCTCACACACACACACACACACACACACACACACACACACACACACACACACAAGCACGCAGACACATATTTTCTTGACTTTTTGGGCAGGGCTTACACAAGCCATTGAAAAGCACTGCATAGGCAAGAAATCGTTAGAAGGATAAGCTTCACAACACAAATACAAACAAACATCCACCTACGTACATGCATGAACATCCAGTCATACATACATATATATGTACATATGTATATGTACATCTGTGTATGGAACATAAGCCCTTAGCCCCAAGACTTACCACCCAAGCCCGCCCCATCCAGCGCGTCCCTGTCGCCAGACAGTGACAAGGTTTGCTTTGCTTTGCCTTTGGATCAAAGGCGACTGACTGAGCGCTGCTTTTCACTGAATAGACTTTAAAATAGCGCCTGGGCGTGGTCGTAGAGGGAACAATTATGGCCTATAATACGTAGTTAACTGCCAATATTACGCAAATTTGGCCAAAAGCCTGAAGTGTCCTGCATCTTGAGTGAACTTTGTGAAAAGAGAAGTCAAAAGCTACTGATTTTCTGAAATGGGGGCCAAGGTTAATACTTTACGAACGATGGTATGGTATTTGAAAGAAAATCTAGGGAAATCTATACTTTGTCTAAAGTTTATCATCTGTAATCTCTCCTGACAAATTATGAAATGTGGAACATAGTGTAGACCAAATTTTACAAAATGTGATCGAATAAACATCTTCTGGTAATAGCAACATCATAGCAAGTGATTGGAGGGTTCCAAGCAGCCTATAAATTATGAAATTTTGTACATTTCCATTAAGAAGAATGGTAAAAGGAGGTCACAAGAGCTAGACATAATTTTAAGGAGCGCTTAACTTCCTCACAAGGCATCAGAATATACAAAGAGAGTGGTAATAGTAGTCAGAACTCTCTAGTCATTTGGAGTTATAAAGTCTCAAGCTGTTAGATAAAATATAGACTTAGAACTTGTGAAAACAGCCAAAGGTCTTAAGATTCCATTATTAAGGTCTTAGCTGAGCTTTGAAAATGTATGCTTACTATATTTTAAACTTCCAAGCAAACCTCGTCGAGAACTGATATATATTGCCCCAAACAAAGATTCGAAATGGTAACAATATCACCAAACAGACTTCCAAATTTGAAAGGCTATATCTTTGGAAGAAAGTACTTTGAGTCGAGATACCAAGAACTTAAAGGAGCAGGGTCTGAACAACATTTGCTTCATTTATTAATCTCATAAACAAACATCATCCAAAGTTTCATCTCAGAGTAAAACTTATTCAATTTCTTTGAACACCCAACTATTGAGACTTGCGCTCTGCTTTCCTGTACATGAAGTCCCAAGGGATGCAGACAATGCCATCCGTCATAACCGAATAGTAGTTGGTCACATGTACGCTAATGTCCCGAAATGATTTCGATTCGCTTTTGAGCAGATGGCGTAGGGTGAGGATCATCTTGTCGGGTGTCACCGAATCATCTTTGGTTAGATTATGCAGACACAGCGTATCCTTGCACTGCTTCCACAACTCGCGCTCAACGGCTCTGTCCTTTTTGTAACGAATCACACGATTGCGCGCTATTTCCAGATTGCTCGCAATAAAATCGATTAGTTCCTGTCCCGAACTCGTCGCTGGCACCAGAAAGAGGCCCGTAAAGCTAACCTTTGGCTGCTCGTCCTCGGGCACAATGGCCAGTTTGTAATCCTTTAACGATTCCGGCAGTTGATCCAAATATTCTTTGGCATTCAAATAGTCGCTTATTGAGTTAATAATCCTTAGCAACCTATTTGCATAAGTCTTCGCCTCAGTGCTCGGTATATAGTTGCGTCTCTTGATCTGTATGCCGCGCAGAACGGCGGACAGAGCCTGCTCATAGAGCGGGACCAGCTTCAAATAGGTCTCGTGCTGTCCCATTGCATTGATGAACCAGAACCAGCATTTGGGCTCATCGCCAGTGAAAAGCATAACATCTCCGTCCAGACTTATGCCCGTATATGGCGCAAACGCAACGATACGATTGCGCAATACCTCCAGCTCCTTAGCATGCTTTTTGGCCAGCTGCTCCAAGCTGATTAGACAGTCGTGATAACGCTCAAGATTCCAGCCGCAATCGTAGCGCGTTGCACGCAATCCCAGTTTCTGCACCAAAGACTTTTCCAAGCCCCTTACTTCTGCCTTAAGACCGGTCAGGTCCTCCGAATTTAGGTGCGCCCTGGCCGCCGTCTCGTTCAGCCACTTATCCAAGTTACTTTGTATGACTTGCTTTTCTACTACTGGCCCACCCTTAATCTCCTTTGGCATGAAGTTGCTTTCCAAACCGGGTTCCGCAGCCGCTGTGGAAAACTCCTCCAGTGCTGGCTTTTCAACCTCCGTGCACTCAGCCGTCAGATTGCAGGTCTCCAGTATTTCCTGGACGACAGCCTTCGGATCCAGCAGATTATTGTTCATCTCAATCAGCACAATGCGAAAAGCCTCGCAATTGGAGCTTCCCACTCGCATGTAGAACTTCAGCACCTTCTTTTCCGGCAAAGTCGAGAACTTGTGATCGCTCAGGGACTCCAAGTGGGCGTTCAACTGCTTCAGCGACTCCTCATTGGTGTGACGTTGTACGGGATATTTGCCAAAATAGTCTGGATGCACTGCCACGACGAAGGGTCGCAAAGCCATCGACAGATCGGTGTTTAACGTCCGACGCAAAGGATAAAGAACGCCTCTATTACGCATCAGTAGCGACGAGATTTGCTGAAAACGTACGAGTCCAAAATTCCACGCCATTGCCCCAATTTCGATACGAACCAATACACTTTGCGAATTGAAAACTGATCTCGGATTGCAATAAAATTAGAATTTAGATGTGCTTTACTTCGATACCGAAATACATATGTATGTGTGTGACAAGTTTTGTCAGCAAATACCAAAAATCTATATGTACATATATCGAAATCGTTGACATAAAAAACAAAGCAAGGCCGAAAATTGTTAATTGTTGTTGGGGATATTTTATTAAGCCTGACTATTCGAAGTACGATGAAGAAGATGCAGATCGTATGATGAGAATACTTTCTGTGAATTAACGATCTAAAACTACGTACATATGTACAGTTTATCCTGATTAACTAACTGTTGAGTAATCAACAAATAGGCCAAAGTTTTGGAAAATTCAAGCTTAAAGGTGAGGAAAATGGACTTCAAACTTTGTCTGCATTGTTCAACCGATAGATGGAATTCAAAATAAACTGCAATCGCCCTCCTCGCTCCACTTTGGTCGCATTGGTCCTGCACACACACACACACACACACACTGTTCTGCTATCGTGTATTGTCCTTATTTTCGTTTGCTGCGCGCAACGAACAATATTAAATTGGATTTTGTGTGGAAAAAGCGTTTTGCTAAAAGTGTTATTTAAGCGGAAAATTTAATAATTTATACGAAAGCCCAGCAAAAGCCTTTCGACGAGTTTTTGGGGACAATTTAAAGCTCTGAAGGGCAGCGAGATGGATGGAAAATTGTTTCAGTGCAGTGCTTGAATGCACTTCTTTTGTGCTTTAATATTTAATTTATTTCATTTCAGTCATGGAAATATTTGCAAACTCTTTTAAAACACCCACTTGAAGGACTACTTAGCCACAATCACCCCGTTCTCGGCATTTAAAACGCTCCAGAACTGGCGGCAAATTAGCAAATGGGCAACACTGTTCCAGCTACTCACAATTAGAGAACGCCACTCGATTAGTATTCATTTATAAGGCTTTGCAACAAAAAAAAAATGCAACACATAAAATATAAAACATAGTTTAAAGGAATAAATTTGCATTTAACACATAAAGTATTAAACAATAATAAAATAAAACATGAATAAATCACATACATATGTATGTATGTAATTTTTCATTGTCCCTTTTATTCATAATGGCGTCTATGAAGCCAATTGGTACACACTGTCATGGCAGTTGTGTAAATAAATGCATGCGAAACAAATGTACAAATAAACATAATAAGAAACGCAATTAATAAATGCTTACTTACACATACATACATACATATGTATGTATGAATACATGTACAAACGAAGGATTGATTTGCATTTATGTACATATTTTTAATTTATTGCATTTAGGCGCCAAACACTACAAATCACATTCACAACAACAAATCAAATCACAAACACAACAAAAAAATGATCAAAAAAAAGGTCGGCATACACACACACACACACACATTTAGGCAACAATATGATTTCAAAAAAACATTTTCATATACAACGACACATTTGTTCTACTAATATATTGTATACCAATATTAAATAATGAATTAAAACATTTATTAATTTTTGTAGGCAGCCAAAAACACACGCGAACCGACGCGACCCAACGTTTCAAACAAAACTACAAGCCATCCATGTTGCAGTCACAAACACACTCTCGCGAGTGTTGCTCTCTCTTAAGATAAAATTGGCGGCAAGCAAATAATAGACAAAGCAAACACAGAATAACATAATAAACATGGTTGTAGGCGGGGTACCAATGATGGTTTAATATACATAATTAAATAGTTATGCTGAAATATTATAAATAAATGAATATAACATCATACATTTTGCTCTTTTATTTTTATAAACAACAATTCATAAATACACATCACATTAATACATGTACATACATATGTACATCACACTAATGCGAAATTTATGCAAATTATCTTATATTTAATTTTATGATTTCTAAAAATATTCACAACTCTTATATTTTGATTTGAAATAGTTTAAAATAAAAGATAATCGCATGAAATCAAACCCCTTTGCTATGATCCTTGGCTACGCCCATACGCCAATACGCCATTAGCGAAGTTGATTTACAGTTATGATTTTTCATTCTTTGCTTTCATTTTTGCATTCTTATGGAGAGCACAGCTGGCAATTGTAGGTCAAGGCTTAGTTTTTCGCGGCATGATCAGCGCATCGGGTCGCTTTTCGTTGGCATTGCCGAGAATTATTGCAAGAAGCCAAAGTTAAATATTAGTAAAATTTTGAGTGTATGAATGAAAAAGAAGTGTTTAAAATTATGTAATTTTTGTTTTTGTTACGCGTCGGATTGCTGCGCGAACTACACCTGCATACATGTACATATGTATGTGCTATGTACATGTGTATTGCTATATGTATGTGTGTGCAGTGTATAGATGTATGTATGTAAATGTATGTATGTATGTCGATGATTTCAAATCAATTGAAGCGCCAAATTTGTAGTTCGTTTTTGTTTTAGTTCTTAAAGTGATTTTAAAAATGTTCTATAGTTTAATGATTATGAATAAAAAGATCGGAATTCATCTGCATATACATTCATATTTATGTACATCTGTTTGTATAGTATGTGTAAGTGTGCAGCTCTTTATCTTTTAAACAAAATTTGACTTTTATGTTTACTTATTCTTATTACTGTTTTAATGCGTGCAATTTAATGCAGCTATTGCTTATGCCTTTTTGTTTTGTTCTCTTTCTTCAATGTCGTCACAGTTGAGCAGACAAAATGTCGCTTTAATAAAACAAACGAATATAAATAAATCTAAAATACATTTAAGGGTCCCTTGCATCAATCATCAACAAAGTATATACATACATATGTGTACATTCATATACGTATGAACAAAAATATTTGTACTTCCATATCTACTTAGTATTTAAGGTATGTAGCTTTCAGTACCTAACAAAGTAATTTGCTACTGCTGGGTAGTTCCTATAGAAACTTCTCTGGAAATTAGCACAGTGTGGAAAGAGAAAAATGTAGTACATATATGTACATATTTATTAAATAAATTATAAATATACTTGTATGTATGTATAGGGCGTAGGCAGGGAACCATTGCTCCCTCCCACCCCCCGTTCCACCACAATAATTTTCGCAATATGAAGTTGGAAACATTCATTATAATGAAGCACTATTTCGCCTTAAAATGGAGCTAAGTTGGATTTGTTGCAATTTTTCTATTGATCATAACCATAACTTATTATTTAAACGCATCCGGCAATATTTCTTCGAAATTCTTTTTTTTTGCTCCCCTCCCTTTGCCAAAGCTGCCTATGCCCTTGGGTATGTAGATACATATGTAGCTGGCATTCAGCCGACCGCAGCTTAGGTATTTCTTTGTTATACTATGTACTCTACGGAAGAATCGGATCTGTTTTTCTCTCTTTAATTGGGTTTCCTTTGAATGAGAAATATTTAAAAGTTTTGCAGCGATACAAAAAAAGTGCAACACCCGTTTTGAACACATTTCCTGTGGCAGCTTCAATCAGCTGATTTAATGCATTTTGTTGTTCTATTCTTTGCTTCAGCAGAAAAACAAAAAGAGCGAAACCTCAAGCGCAATTTTTGCACTTTTCCACACACACACATACACATATATATATATATATAAACACACACTCACACATGCACATGCATATAAAATGTACATTTACGCATATAGTTGGTCGCGAGAGAGCTCGAGAGAACCGCTGCCGGCCGGCGAAGCCGACAGAACCGTTTCGTTCAGTTCGGTTCCATTTGGTTTCGTGAATCTGCTGTTTCGTGCATTTCGCGTCTTTTGTACATGCCCTGTCTGTCTGACCGACTCAGAGGCCGACGAATCGACTATTTACCTCTCGTTGCGTACCAATCGAGTTTAGTACGTTTTTGCGCTGCAAACCTTGCCAAGATGGGTCGTCCGAAGACTGTGAATTTGTCGTCTTTGGTCGAAATATTCCCAGACTCGAAGCGCTGTCGCTGCCTCTTGTGCGGCAACACATTCGTCCTTCACACCAGCAATATACGTCGGCACTATCGCAAAAAACATCCTCATAGAATCATCGAAAAGTTGGAAACGAAACCAGCAAATGCAGCAAATAGTGTAAGTGCCGTGTTATTTCAATTCACATATGGACACAGACATGTATGTACATACATACATAAAGAATGATTTGTTTGGGACAAAAGTCACAGGTCAGTGCAAAGCACGAATAAATCTCGACTCATGCACAGTGGGCACATCAACAATAAAAGAATGCCAAAACTAAAATTTGCAAGGGCTTATTGAATAATTATCAAATAGGTATATGCACATAAAATTTCATACCGTTAAAGTCAGTCTTTAGAGCATTTTTGCTGAATGTGCGTACATATGTGCGATAAAAGATGAAAAGGAAATCAAAAATCACCTCAGACGGACTACAACACTCTCGCACTTGGGTTTCAGCGCAACAGCCGCCAACTGGTGCGCCAGAGAGCCGAAGAGAGCGCGAGAGAACCGTTTGAAATCACGACCGCTTCGTTATGTACTGTTCGTATTAATTTTTTGTTGTTGCGATTTTTGGTACTTGCTGAGAAAATTACTTCAGTTCCGTGCGTTTGCGTTCTTAACGTTAGTTCGTATTATTATCGAACAATCACAACTACGTAGGTATATCTTTATATAAAGGGAAGTGGGGAAAAGAACAAAAAAGTCAACGAAATTCTCAAGTTGACGCATCATTATTTAGTCACTATCTTATAAAGTCTTTTCATGAACTTAACTGTTTTTTGTTAACTTTAATTTGTTATACCAATTTTATGGACTCTTTAGCTACAATACCTTACAACTCACACAGAAAACAAAATAGATCAGTTCACCATTAATTAGTGCTCGACACTGTAAAGTTCCTAGCTCTTACTTTTTTTGCACATTCATTTGGTACCAAAGGAAATACCGTTTTTCGTTTTTGAATGACGTTTACAAGTATAGTAATATAACTGAACAAATATTGTCCTGCAATTAATCTCATTAGGAAACACGCGATCTTTATAATCATATTTAATAGTAATTTAGTAATGGAAAATAGTACATACAATTATTTTGAGAGGATTTCGTACAATTTGCTTATTATATGTCACACCAACGATGATTCCAGCGGTTCTTTTGCTCCAACTTTTCAAACATTATTTAATATTTTTGAACTAACCTAAATATCACAACTTCAGGGAATATTCTTTTGGGACAGCTGATGAATTAAAAACCCCAAAACACCTAGGCCTCTAAAAAACATAACTAGTGACAAATTTCTTATTTTTTTCGTTTTTTTGCCACGCCGTTAGCGAAACGCTGAGCGTTTCAGCTGAGCGAAACGTTCTAAACCGGTTCGCACTGTGTGTTCTTATGTGTGTTGATTCGTTTCGCTTTGCTTCGCTGTGTTGGTTTTCTGTGTTAACGATTCGGACCGTCTTCGAACCGCTCTCTTTACGGTCTGAACGGATGCACACCGAAATGGTTAATGTGTGTGCGGAAGAGCGGGATAGAGAGCGAGTTATAATGTTTATGGTATACTCTGGTATTGGAAGTGGTTCGTGAACCGGTTTAGGTTTGGCTCGCGTTTCATTTAGTTGATGGCCGATATTCAAAGACGACGGTTCTACGTTGCACCATTTTTTCTTATTACTGCCAAACTATTTCTACGATATATGCGAAATGGGCAAAGCGACATTTAATCCAGTTATGGAATACTTCAGCTTTAACCATGAAACATTTAAGAGCACCTGCATGGTGTGCGGTTTTGCGATGGCGGGCAAACATTCCGAAAATTTACTGCGCCATCTGAAGCGTAAACACGTTCCAACCTATGAAGCCGTGATGCATAAGAAACTGATTAAGAGCGGAATGCTGCCCGAAGACGGTAGTTCTTCGGAATACTTTAGTAAAACGGTAAGCGTTGGCGACTCAGCTTTATCAAATATCTTAAACAATTGTCCGGAAACCGTTCCATTAAACCTTGAAATAGTTCTATGCAAAAAATTCGCTCAGTTTCAAAGCTATCGTGCTGAAATTCATCACTTAGATTTCTTCGAAACTACCCGGATCGGACTGTTATACTATATAGTTGTTATAGGAACTATAAACCGAATCTATAATAACTATTTTGTTTAGAAATCTTTTTTAACTACATTTAAGATATATAGAGTTGGAAATACTATGGAATTTCAACCAAATGGCGAGATACTATACTATATATATAGCTATAGAAACGATCAAATAAATAAATAAATAAATAAATTCTTTGTTTCTAGAACTAACTTAACCCTGTAATGTAACCAACTATACTAACTGTCGTTGAAACGATCGGTCAGTTTTGCAAAAACTACTTTGTTTCTAACGCTTTCCAAATTAATTTTAGATATGGTGGTCTTCTAAAGAATTTTTAAATATACGTTAATGTCAACCAAATCCAGCTACTATATATAGTTGTCATATAAACGATTAGTTGCAATAGGTTCTTAGTTTTCAGAGCTAAACCAACCAATTTAAATATGAACCAAATCGAAACTATATCGTGTAACTATCTTTGCTTCCTCAACTTAGTTCGATGTGTTGTGGTCCCGTTAAGCGTTAATTTAAATCGAGATCTATAGTATATAGATGCCATAGGAACGATCAGAAATTGGAATAACAACATGTTTCATTGTTAGGATATCTAAAGGAAATTAGCATCCAAGATCAGATAAGATCGCAAGATACGAGAATTTAATTTTGTTTGAACTGGCTGGCTGCATTTTTCGATAAGGCTGGCAAAACAATAGCGCAGAGTTTCGGCCTTGATTGTGGTCGCTGAATATTTGTAACTTCTGCAGGTAGTACTTGTATATGCGGCTTCTGTATATTTTATTGTTAGAAGCGGACGGACGTACTTCGTTTCTGTGTGCAGATGCGAGTCATGTCGGGTCGTCCCATGCCTGAACAATTTCAAAATATTTAGTGAATCCGCATTTACTGTGTGATGATTACAAATTATAGGCATGGCAACAGGCAGTCTAGTAGCGCACATGAGGGCTTAAGAAATCAGGCAATATGCTAATAAAGATGCTTGTATGATTTCATGTTAGATGGACGAACTATGAAGCAGATAAATCGGCTTTAAGAATTTTATTACAGTGCCTGAAAAAGTAAATAAGATGAATTTCAATCGACTATTTATAAGAAAAAGTGGTTCTATTTCTTGAGAAGATATAGCCATATCCGTCCATCCCTCGGAAAGAACTCTGACACTTTTCTAGCCAAACATCCCCACACGTTCTCGATGATATTAGGATCAGACGAGTATGAAGTAGTGCTTTTCACAGACCAGGGGTGTGTGAATTGGTACATTATCGTGCGGGAAACGATAGTTCAGATTGCTATAAACATTTTGAAAGTGGGAAAATTCAGTTTTTTGAAACGTTGTTGAACGGTTCTGCAAAATTTCAGTTCAAATGTATATAGTAATAATAGTTATTAATATAGTAATAATAGTTATTATTATAGGATATTGCTCTTCATCATATTCCCACCCGGCTGTGGTGGTAATTCTTTCGATTATCCTGAATAGAATAATATTTATATCCTTCGGGACTATGTTCTCGTAAAATCGTTAAATCGGCTTACAGCAACATCTTAACATCTAACATTTGATTAAAATTTCGCTCTCGAAGCGATTGAATTCGTTTCATGGATAAATATGCCTAAAGCACTGCAAACATTGAAAAGGCTATCCATTTTCAAAATCCGCTTGCTAGTTTTATTGAAACGGACTTTATTCCTTCTTCATTGCTATCGAAAGATACTGCTTCAAACAAAGGATCTTAGAGACTTCTTAAAGTGTTCTTTATTGGCTCGCAGTTAGAGGAAAAACTGCTTCAAGTGGTATCCAGATATGTGTATTCAAGAAAAATCCCCAAATCGGATTTAGCAGCATATTTTAGAGCATTACATGGGAAAATAGTGTGCGTGGAACCGAAAAGTAAAGGACACAAAATGTTAATCAGAAAATGGCTATGAGAGAGATTTTTATAATGTCTACATCATCGAAAGCAGTACATTTTCGTCCCTAAAGACTTCATATTTATTTAACAAACTGTACTATATGTATAAAAAAAAAAAATGTTTATATTTTTTATAATCAGAGCAATGGACTGAACGATACAAATACCGAAGAAGAGGAGGCGTCGAGCCATCAATCCTATGAAGAGGTATTCATCGGTAAGTCGGAAATTATCGACATAGAAGAGCCGCCCAATCATTCCGACCAATCCGGAACGCCCGATATTTCAACCACCAACAACAATGCGATCAGCAATGTCAACAACCTGGGGGGTGGAGGTGGTGGTGGCATAACAGTGAAGTCCTTTGCTTCTTCTGCCTCCCCATCCACCGATGATACCTATTTTATGCAATATCTGGAGAGTAAATTTCGCAAATATTCGACACGCACCAAAAACACCGTCCAGTTCCACATCCATCGTGTGCTCTTCAAGGCCGACATGGGCTGTTTCGATAATGCCGAGCCCGGAGCCAATATAGCGGACGAAGTTCTAAAATTGTAATTGAAACCGGAACACGGAAAAGTATTGAATATTTAAACACGAATCCACAAAAGACATTTAATAAAGACGTGCGGAGAAACAGGATTATGTGGTTCCTATATGTATATGTTTATGATAATCTACATTTGTAATACACACATACTATATGATAAAGAATTTAACGTGATTTCCAGCAATAGCTGGTAAGCCAAGAAATTTTGAATTTTCTTGACACTTTTAGCAACTAAGTTCTGTCCCGTGTTGGGAGCCTTATTTGATTAATAAAAAATAAATAAATGATATAAATTTACTTAAGATCTAATATAATATTTTTATACCCAGTACCTGTAGAGTAAAAAGGGTATATTAGATTTGTGAAAAGTATGTAACAGGCAGAAGGAAGCATCTCCGACCCCATAACGTATATATACTTAATCAGCGAGACGAGACGAATCGATCTAGACATGTCCGTCCGTTCGTCCGCTGTCTGTCTGTCTGGATGAACGCTAGGATCTCAGAAACTATAAAAGCTGGAATAACCAAAGTTGGTATCCAGATTCCCCTAGGTCCGAGAAAGGACGAGTTTATATTGTTTTTTGGAATTTTTCCTCCCTTCCCCCGCGCACAGAATTTTATCAATACTGCCCACATTTCAAAAGCTACATTAACCAAACTTTATACAATTCAGTTTCATTTAAAATTTCATCCGAATCTGTTAATTCTAAGAAAACTTATTAGCGGAACAATTTCACTCGCTCGACTGTAGTGTTCTCTCTTGTTTTATTTAGAAAGCAATATCAGTTCCCAGACTCCACGTGTAACATCTCCGATGCCATCGACGAGCACTTTTGCAATACAATAGATTGCTTTGGTTCCGATTTGAAGGAGAACCTAAAACAGAGAGCCATCTATAATAGCTAAATTTTGTAATAAATTATTATTAAATTAGTTCGTGTACCTCGATTAGTGGCAGCTTAAAAAATACAAAATTAAATGGGGCTTTGAAGATTACAATTAAAATTAAATAAGAAGGTCGAGTGGGTTGAGTCTTTCGAGACGTCTGTTCTGTTCGCTGCTATCGAGGAGAACGTTTCCAATAGACTGCTTTGGTTCCGATTTGATGGAGAACCTAAAACAGAGGGCCGTCCAGGCTGAGCTAAATGAGAGAGCACTTTTGTCAGAAATATCAACAATTTATATAAAAAGAAAAAGAATAACATCGGCCTCTATTGCCTATAACCTATGATATGACACTTTTATGGAAAACTTGCTGCCCAGATGCGCTCACTGAGCAAAGGATATTGGCGAAGGGGAGTCCTGCGATAAGTAAAGAGCCACAAAGTGGTTGCTGAATGTTATACTCTGTGTGTGTGTGAGTGTGTGTGTGTGTGCTTGTATCTCCTGCAGCCACACACGCTCGCATTCACACTCGATACGTGTATCTTGTATCTCTGCAGGACTGTCGGACCGACCGAGTGAACAAGCCGGCCGGCCGGCTGTTTCTGCAAAGTTCAAACCTGTGTCGACAGCAGGCGACACACATTCATACATATATATAGTGTGTGTGTGTGCAGTATAGGGGCGCTCTGTGTAGCACGCAGGACCAACAAGGAGAACAACAGCAAGCCTGAAACGATTTTGTGCAGCTAAACGGATATTAAAGGTACATTATCAAATAGGTCTCTGTTTCACACACACACACACATACACACACACACACAAAATACTAACACACAAAAAATACCAAAGCTACTCTTGTGTGTGTGTGTGTGTGCGTGTGCGTGTGTAGGTGCATTTACCTCAGCCTCGGCATTATCGTCACACACCTGCCGCCTTTGGTAGCTCGAACCTGCTGCTGTTTATTTAGCCTTTTCTCTCTCTCTTTCCCTCCCTCTCTCTCTCTCTCTCACTCTCTCTCACACACTCTTCTATAGCCTTCATAAAAGGCCAATGCACCGAAAGGACTACGAACTCCGCTCCATGCCACTCGACTTTGCGTTTCGGCAAAAGAATTGAGGGACGCATTGAAACCCACAAAACAAATTTCATAAAAAAAATAACGAAAACATTGAACTCGAAATTTAGAACCAAGGTATCCCTATCTTTTGTTATATAAAGCTGTGCAAGCCTATACTTATCAGTGTTAAAATAATTTCAATTATTGACATTATTTAAATTATTTACATATATCCTTCTTGTTGTAAAGTTTTTAATAAAATGTTGTGAAAAAGTATTTCGAAGGGAACCGATCTCCTCTCTATGTATGTTCTTCAATTTGTACGGTATATATATATATGTATATATAATGCATATTTCTCAATTCTTAAGGAATACGATAACAACTTTTAAATAACTTAAAGAAATAAAATTAAAAGAATTTGCTTTAGTTTTCCAATTTTGTAATTCCTTCGGTTGTTTGCTTCGCTTAAGAGTAGAAAACAAAATGTCGATGGGAACATATGTGTTCTTAAATTTTTACTCGTATACCTATAAATAATTCTTAACTCAATTCAATAATGCAAGGGAATAATTGTTGATATATATTTTTTCAAACTGATTCTTTCAATTTTATGGCGAACTTCAGCAGGATGGAATGAAAAAATGAAAAAATGAAAAAATCCTGCTCCCCTTACCGAGTTGTTTTGGGTGGAGAGTGGGGGAACAAACTGCTCTTTTGAATTAGATCAACCAAGATGCGAAGACAATCTTCGCGGCTTTGTTAAAGCCAGATATAAATGGGGCAAAATTTGAACCTCATTTAGGGTTTCCTCTGCATATCAGGTGATGTGTGCTGGACTTGAACGTCTCGTCTACTGGAAAACAAGAAGAACTGTTGAATTGTACCGACCAGAATTATTCGCTTTGGCGAATGGCGATCCTATACATATATGGGACTATATATGGAACCACATTTTCGAGTATAATGGGGGAGAGAAGCGAAGGAAAAAGAAGAGCTGGACCATCTGCGGAACCTCATCTTCAAGTCTTCTCTCTCGAAATTGTAGCAATAGGGCAGGTGGAGGAACTTAGTGTTATTACAGCAAAGGATTGGGTTACTACAGGATGTAAGGAGCATGTTGTGGTTCATCAGCTAAGTGGTGTGAATAGCGGCGAATGGGAAACTAACGTTCACGGCAGGTCCACTGTTCGAGCCGGATGGGGTTCTTGTAAGCGACGTGCCTACTTCTGAGGTTGATTGCGAAAGGCTTAACGGCTTAAGGTTAAGGTGATGAGTGAAGTGTTGCTGCAAGCTAGTCTCCTGAAGCTACTATGAACTATCATATAAGGTGTTTATAATATAGGGTTAGAAATAGTTTCAAGCTTGTCATAAATGAAGCGATTTCAAAAGACATATCTCCAGGTACGGAGAGACCGTCCTCCCTTCTGTCGAATGGAACATATAAGTAGTTCTCCGCGGACTTTTCAGCAACTCCAAAAACTGTCAACTGCTTAGATTGAAAAGTAAAATAATTCAAATTTTTGACTCGCCCGCATTTGTTTTGAGCAATCTTTTCCATGTTCCTTCTTTGTTGGATCATATTAGACTTGTGTTTACCTCGAGAGCTCGTTTGTTTTCATTCAAATGGCAAAAAGATTGATGTAATTATGCCACCCCTAGTGCTCGGTAAGTTCAATATTTTCATTTTGGTGGCACAAACGCCATAACGCGCGTGCAGAGCAGTTTTTATTTTCTCCCCTCCCCAAATACTTTATACTTTGTACATGAATTCGAGTTTATTTCCATTTTTCCCATTGCCCTTTTTCCCCGGTGCGCCCGATGCCCTATTTTTCGTGTGTTTTTGTGAAACGAGTTCTTTAAACCGAAAACAGAATTCAAGACACGTCAAATTGATTTTCATCTATTTTATTTACAAGAAAGTAAAGCGAATTACATGGAAACAGCGGGAGAAATGTCAGGCATGCATTCTATATACATAGGTGTGTATGAGTGTGTCGGGGTGTGTGTGTCTGTGTGTGTGTGTGTGTGTGTGTGTGTGTTGGTCTCTCGTCAAGCTACTTGCCATCACAATCACCATGAACCTCATGAACCTTACCACCATCCCTTTTCGAACAGGCTTTGACGACAAATATCCACATGGCTGTCTGGACTGTCTGGGATGCGTCTTTATGGCTGACATCGCGTTGGTTTTAGATTTATGTGAATGTGTGTTTGTGTTTGTGTGTGTGTGTGTGTTTGTGTGCACATATGTGTTTTTATCCCCTGGCGTCGTCATCACCTTTACGAGCTGCTTGAGGAATCAATCACAGCTCTTTTCCACTTCAGCTAAACGCCAATCCAAAGAGAATCGATGCCTAAAATCACAGCAATTTAGACACAATATTTATACATAGATATAAATTAAATATTGGGAGATTGAAAACAATTCAACTTTTATGAATAACCTACATATATACTTAAAAATACTTACTAAATACTTACTATTGTGTACAAGTTGAAAATCTATATTTATTTTTCTTTTGTTTGTAAATCTTTAATCTTCATTTAAGATCTGCCCGAGGCTGGACCATTATTCAATTTTATGATAACTTTGACAATTTTTAAAGATTTATTTATTAAAATCTATTTTTCGCCTTCAAAGTAAGTCGGGTAAGGCCCCTTTTTGAAATGGCCTTCAGTGTCTTCGTCGATTCGGCTTAAATCTGTTCAATCGTATCAATTGGTGTCCTCGGAGTTTTCGAACCATATGCGTCGTGTTTTTGACGAAGTCTGTGTTTTTGGAAATCTGTGAAACTAAACGAGATTTGACACAAAATTTCTCTTAAAATGGTGTTGACAGATCTACAATTATTAGAAATTCCAAACAGCGTCCAGCAATGTCGATGATTTTGGAGCAGAAATTCTTTGATACGCTTAACGTGTTGTTCCACAGTTGAAGTTCTTGGTGGTCTTCAACGCTTTCCCGACACTTTATAATAAAAAAGCCAACTTCTTCGTTCAATAGTTTCGGAAATTGAAAAAACAAACCTTTTTGAAAATCCACAAAACACAAGCAATGAAGAATTTAGACTTATAGTTGTACGCAATATGTTTAGAAACATTGCTTTCAGTTCCATATCTGTGACCACTTTCTCCTAAAACCTAGAACATTTATTCCAGCGTCTTTTATGAATATGCACACATATACATATGTATGTGCATTACTATCTGAA